CAGATAGCTAGCAAGCCAATGTACTTTGTCTGATGCTTCTTGGAGACTTGCGTAGCATTAAACTTGAGTTTTGTGTTAGTGACAGCCGGAGAAATCGCGCCTTGATCGTCTCCCCTCCTACCGTAGTCATACGATAGTAAAGAAATCAATAACTCACTCCATACTGAAGATCTATGTTGGAACTGAGAGAGATATTAACGATCAAACATAGCGCGCATTTTTGAGACATCCTGTTTAGAAGGTGAACTTATATAAAAAATGGCTTCCTCAAACTAAGGGCGCAAAAAAGTGCCCAAAATTACACAATAATTATAAGTGAAGACGGAAACAACAACTTACTATTTGTTTCCGTACAAAGCCATTTCTTCAGTTGGTCATATCGAATTTTTCCGCTGTCGGCCAAAACCACTACCATCATGTGAATGGATTGTCCGGCAGCCTAAAAGTAGCGATGGCACACATAACTTAAAGCTCTGTACAAGCTCTTACCCTGTTTATTGCGTTCTTAACTGCTTTATGGTAAGCTGTAGGACTTGCATCTGTGCAAGTCTCCACCAATGGGTGACAGAAGCGTATTTGCATGGTGTTATAGATGTTTTCGATTTCATCTGAACGTTGAGTTTTGAAAAGCATCTGGTTCGATTGATTTTGTGAACGTTTGTTAATATTATCTAGGCGAAAACGTAAATGACTGCCTATTGACAACACCGTTATCTTGCAAAGAGAACTTGCAGCTTTTTTGAAACAAATTGCAAACTTTAGAAGAGGATGCGTCATTATATAAGTATCATTTACAGTGGAGTAATTTCTATTGCTTTTCAGCACGACTGCTCAAAATTTGTGGAAGCTTTGTTTGAGAAAATTTCGAAGCTCATTTTTCTACTTTTTCGGAATGACATTATGTTAGATAGGAACCTCCAATTAACACTCTGTTTGGTAGGAATTTCACAAGATGATACATAGCTGGAAGTACTCCAAGTTCATGATATAACTAATGGAACCAAAAAACGCACGAATAAACTCTGCAGACAAACGTTTTCCATCATCAGTGCCTGGAGCAATGAGAACCCAATTCTGAAGGCACATTCCGCGATAAGTTCCATTGAATCTCACATGTTTAGCCCATTCAGCACGTTGTCCCGCATAACCTTGAGGATTGGCTCCATAAAGCTGCAATGTTAGCATGTATCTTTCCTATCAACATGGCAAGCCGTTGTAAGGAACTTCCAATATCGACTCCCGTCAGGCTTCGCTTAAAGGCAGCCTCCAAGCAAATCTAGACGTATGGGGACCTTACGTGGAAAGTAATCTTAGGACCC